CGCGTTGCGTGTCGCGCGCGTGGCAAAATTCAAAATCCAGAAGATAGGTTGGCTGTCACTATCCATTCAAATTCACTCAACTCACCTTTTAGCGTACAAATCCTGTTCTCGCCATCATAATCAATCAGCAGTCCGTCTCGATTATTGATCGTTTCCATCTCCACACAAATCGGCTCGTGTCGGCCGCAATTTAGTGCCGTAAACGGACAAGCTGGAATTAGGAAGTGCGAAACTCGAAAAAGTCGAACCAGAATGTTCAGGTTCCAGAGTGCATTCGTCGCCATTAGTTACCATCGTCAGTCTTTCGTACGGTACACAATAACTCGGGGTGTTATTTGCCCCTCGACACATGTGGTGCCCAGGGAAGTTGTAGCAGCCTGAAAAAGATGAAAACTGATTTTTTTTAAACATTTAAAAACTATTTTTAATTGTTACTACCATACCTCTATGGATGCACTGCATGGTGACGTTATCGAAATCGGCGAGTGAAGATTTTGGCGTACAGATTGGACTATTTACGCCACAATCCAAGTGATGAGCAGAAGAACAGTCGGAAAAACGGAATGTACAATCTCTCTCTCTCTATCTCTCGCTCTCTCTTTGTCTATTCCTCTATCTCTCCCTAGCAAACCTCTTAAAAATAAACTGAAAACGAACTGCCCAAAACGAAGTCATCGGGCAAATAACCGGACAGCATTTCGAATGGCACACATCTCTTCGTCGTATTCCCAAACGAAATCTCGGCTTTTCCTTCGGGGCAACCTGAAAAAAAGAAATTGTAGCCGTAGCTGAAGCTTAGGCAAGCTAGCGAGGTTTTTTAGGAATGCGTTTGGTAGGCCGATCTAGTAAAGATCATTAGAGAAAATTCTAGAGCCGTACACATTCAGACATGCCAGCCAACACCTTTGCGGAATAAGAAAAGGTGCTAATTTGGAAATCTGATCGTAATACGTAATTTGGGCAGGCTAGCCGAGATCTTTTAGGAAATTACGGCCAAACTAACAAGTTTCTTTTCTGGCTGTAAAATCGATAATTTGCATATCAGATCAAATTTTTCGGCACAAGGCAGGCTAGCAGAGAACATTTAGGACATCGTTTTCCCATAAAATCTCAAAAAAAACCGACCAATCATAGTGCATACGGTAGGATGTTCCTTGCTGAGCATCTCCTCGGGAATAGCTACCCATTGACCATTATAGCCAGGACACAGCCGGGGAATGGCTGTCGTTGTTGAAGACGTCGTCGAATTCAGATCAGTTGGGCTGGATGAGGGGTCATCAGGGTAGATTGTTGTCGCCCAGGAGAAGGAAATAGAAAAGAGCAGCACAAAAATCGGGAGCATCAGGTGGAGGAGGAGAATGGCGTAGAAATCTTTTTACTGGATTTATGGCAAAAAATCAACAAATTTCTTGATGCAAATTTGCCATGTTTAATCAGTGAATTTAATTTTTTCGTTTTAATTACAAACCTAAGCTGCTCACTAACATCCGGCTCTTAAAATAGGGAGGGCAATGAAACTAAAGTCGTTTTGTTGTGCACTTCACGGCCTATTCTAGATAAAAAATTCTTATTTTAAATCGGAATCTAATTTAGAAAAATGTTAATTCCTTGGGTGAATAGCTGGCACGCTCCCTTTAAATGGATCTAACAAACTCTGCAGGCTTGCTTTGTTAAATTTTCTGAATCGTTCGAATCCACAAAGAATCTTTGCTAGATTGCCAAAATCGAAGCGACACACCACGCTTCCCGCTGATTTTCCATTGCGTTATTGATGATCGGCCGTTTAAGGCGGTGAACTGCCGTGCAGCGTGAACATTCCTGGATGGTTCTTCACCGCAAAATGCAAAATTGTTCCTTGTTCTTTATTGTTAAAGTCTTCGTATTTGCATGCGCTAATGTAATCGGTAGTGCGTGGTACGGTATCTAGGTATCGCAGGGGGCACCGACTTGGTAAACTACAAAACAGTACCAGAACGCAGAGCCAGAGAGCTGAAGCCAAACTGCCGAAAAAGAGCGAGAGAGACTAGAGAGAGAGCAAGACGGAAAAAATTCAAAACCTTGGAGACCGGCCGCACCCTCACAACTGCCATTTTTCTTTGAAAATCCGAATAAAAAAGCAGCTATTGAAAAGCTCTGATTCACTTCTTTTCAGCTTACAACTAATAAATAGGTTGAGCTGTCCGCTATACATAGGGCTACGCTTTGCGATAGAAACACATAATTTTGACAAACCGTGATTAAGATTGCAACCTTTTGATGAAGGCAATTTCAAAACATTCGAAGTGTATATAAGAAACGGGACGCTGCGAAAGGCATCCAGCTGCTCCTGGCCTACAATCTCGAGCTCGTGGAAATGAAGTCCTTCATCGCCCTACCGCTTTTTCTGGGCATAGTGAGCTCTGGTAAGCGCTAAGATTAAAATGTTTCTATATTACCGTCTTGCTATCTTCTTGGTGTAAATTTCATGGCTTCAAAGGCAGCTTTTTCAGCTTCGATCCCTACTGAGCAGTCACAACAGTCGAATATAACAACGGTCACCTTTTCCGTAAGCATATTGGCCTTCTCGAATTCCCCATTTTTTCAGCACAATTTCAGCTTCCTACACGCCGACGAAATTTGCAGGTTTATTCTTTCCAAAAATGCAGAATTCTTTGCAGTTGGTCGGGTACCCTGGACGAAAGCATGTTGCTCATGAAAGAAGAATTCTGCATTGGACGCGAAGCAAAGCCCGAGTGTACGGAGTGAAACAGTCAATCCAATGTTTTTGCTTAAGATACTGATATAACCGAATGTTTCATAGCTGGTGGCGTACCTATCAACGACCTTTTCGAACAGAAATCAAAGAACGCCTCCTGCCAGTAAGCATTGGCGTCGCAGAAAAACTACTTGTTTTTAGGACTGTAACCGCTCTGTATCTTAACTATATCCAAATCGCATCTCGCAGCTGCCCGGCACCTGTACAAACCAGTAAAATAGCTGCACGTGGAGTTATGGTTGAAGTAGCACTTTTGTTATTTCCGTTACGTTGTTTAAATTACAGCTTGCACTTGCCCACAATGCGCCGACTACCGAACGCGAAGAGGCTGCCTGTTACATCGAGATCGCCCAAAACCTCTACAGCTATTTTGAAGTGGAGAGTGGCCCGCCAGCCTCAACCTCGGCTCCTAACTGGCCGAGCGGCACGACGACTCCGGGCTTCCCCAAACCCATTCCTACCGCCGAGCCCTACCCAGTACCAGTCCCATGTGGTTCTGGACAATAATTACAATGTTATGGAAATAAATGAATTAGAAAATTTTGGTTGTCATAAAATAATTAAAAAACCAGGGTAGAAAAACCGCTTCGCGGCTTTTCAACCCTGGCCCCGTCTAGAACCGGTGAAAGACCTCAATTTACATGTTTCTTCCCGAATTCCAGCAAGAAAAAAAAATGAAAAGCGGCTCGTTATATTGGATATCTCCCCTTCCGGTGTATTCTAATTTTTCCTGACAAAGAGGGTAGCCGAGAATTTCCAAAAATCGATTTTTCATAGCGAAAATAGCAATTTTTCAAAAATTTCCAGTGCGGGCACTCGATTTCGGTCCCTTCTTTACATAGCGACATTTCTTCCCTATCGAAAAAATGCTGTGTTGTAAAAACATATTTTAAAAAAGTGCATGCAAATACACACACAGACACCTTTTTTATATTTAGTTAGAAGTTAGTAAGTCTGAAAAACGCGGAGCGTTTAAAGATTTTTGTTAAAAACTTGGGATAAATTTTGGGAGCGATTTGGGATTGAACAAAGTCATTAAGATATTGAAAACCCTGCCTGGCATGAATTGAGCCCTTCCTCCAGTTGTGCCGGTCTAATTGAATTCCCAAGAAGTAAGAAAATAGAATTTGGTCCATACAGAACCGATGACCGAAAAAATGTAATATTGCTTTTTTCGGGGTTTTCACAGCTTAAAAATTTGCACTTTAGTCATTCAATTGATCGTTTCTTGGACCAGTGTATTTTCCATCTTCTGTTGTTTAATTATTGCATTTAATTATTGCATTTCAAAGACTTTTTGGGGGGTTTTCGAGTTTTATTCGGGTCAACAAGTGTTCTAAATCGTATGTATCAAAAAGAAGTGGAGAGTAAGCGTATGGGGGTGTGGGTGGGTCAGATCACATGGATTTCGGGGAAGAACTGGTATAATTTAAACCAAGACACGGAATACAAAATACAACGCGAAACGTACAAAAATGTACAATTTTATGCAAAGAGGGCCAGTTTTTGGTGTTTGTAGCAGAGATTTTTGGCTACAAACTTTTCAGTTTGTAGTCTGGTTGCCAGTTTAGACAATAGAAAGTTTTTCTGGGCTCCAGACTACAAAATCCGGCGATTTTTGAGGGTTAGAAAACCGCGGGCTAGACCCGCAGAGAAAACAAGGAACGGAGCAGAGACTATTTGCGGAAATTTCGTAAAGAATTTCGTCTACAATCAGAGACTAGAGCGGGGCAGACGAAGAGCACATTTTAAACACGCCAGAAAATTCAGAACAAGATCGAGAAAAACGCAAAAATGACAATCTGCCAGCATGCAGCTCGCGAGCGCCCAAATTTTCACCCGTTTTTAGCCTCTAAAATTTTTGTCTAATAACTTTTTTACCTGTAGTCCACTCTAGACAACAATCTGGACTACAGACTACAGAATCAAGAAGAATTCGAATCGAGATTACCAGAATTCTATGGATTGAGCGACCCGTTTTTGACAAATTTCTAGACCCCAAACAAATTCGAAAATTCGAAAAAGTCCTAAATTTTTCCAATTTCTTAGAATCGAATGGCGACTCGACGAGCTGGGCTGCAAATTGTTAGAACGCAGAAAGATACAGAAAAATCAAGGGGAAAGGGGGCGTGGCCAAGGTACGGGGCAATACTTTTTGAATACAGTAGTGTGCAAACGGGATGAAATACAGAATGGAAAAAAAGCGTTTTCAAGCCCATGCAATTTCCGGTTCCGGCATCGATTATTCTGCCTTCTTCATCATCTTATAGGGGAAGACTGGCTTGCGGCATCCACGGCAGGTCATGCTCTGAAATATAACATTTTTAAATTGTTTTTTGGCGAAATAATTTTTGTAAGCTTTTCGGATGTCAATTTAGCTATTACTATTGTTTTTGTATTTTTGGAACTTTAGAAAAATTGTAAAATTTTGAAAATATTAAAAAATTTCATCGATCTGGAAAATTTAATTTTTTTAATTTTTGTATTTTGATACTTTTAAAATTGTATTAAATTAATTACCTGGTTCCTCCTGGCATCAGCCTTCCACTTCCTTCCACAGTCATCACATGCAAAGAATCCAGTCGAAGGCCTATCCCCCTGATAGGGTGTCTTCTCCATCCTTGGGTCTTTCGTCGGACAGAATTTGATCCAATGGCCCTTCTGGTTGCATCGATGGCACACATAGTCAGTTGGCACATTTGTGCGCATCTTGCTCAGTTCGCCGAGAATCTGCAAAAAATGGGATTGAATTTTGGCCAGTTTCTAATCCATGACCCCAAAATTTCCATAAAGTGCCTTCAATGGTCCTTTAAACACGCTAAAATTTCGATTTTCCCGATGCAAACCACAAACTGCCCTACAGTACGCAGCCATGCGCAAGATTTGTAGGCACAACGCTATTCCCGGATTTTTATGAATTGCTTGGCGTAATCAAATCTCAAAATCGCTCAAAACTGCTATTAAAAACCCCTTCTCAGCTATAAATTTGGTCGGGAAATTAAGTGAACTTGTAGTCTGTACTCCAGCTTAACTATTCCAAATCCCAAAAACTTAAAAACCGATTGGTTACCGTACCTGTTGCTCAATGTCCTCTTCCGAGATTTGACGGTTGAATGCCGGCTGCACCTGTTGCTGTTGTGGCTGGGCATTTTGCATCGCCATTTGCATGTTGTTGTAGTTATGCATATTCCGGATATTCTGCGGGGTGAGCATCATTGGGGGAGTGGCACGAGGGGTCGAGTTATTCAGAGGAGAAGCCGTCGAGAATGGGGGCCAATTGGGGTATCCCCTCTGGGTTGGAGGGGAGACACTTTGGTGTTGTTGCTGATGTTGTTGCGGCCACGGGGTGTTCAGCACCTTTTGCATGTTCTGAAAAAGGTGGAATTAAATACCGTAATCCATTTGGCAATTTTGAAAAAGCGCACAAAGCGAATTTTCGACAAAAAAATTATTTTTCGTAATTTTTGCCCCTTTTGCGTTAAAAATCTGGTGAATTCTTTGTTTCCGCCTTGTTAGTCCTTTTAAAATTTAAACTGACTCACCATGGGCTGGAAATAGTTGTGGTTTGGCGGCGATTCGGGCGGGGTGTAGATGCTCGACGAGTGCGGGACGATCGGACGGGCCGGGGTGCTAAAAATCAATTTTTAGATGATTTTTCACTTTTGAAATTGCTAACTAGCATTAGTATACCGAAAATGCCCCCAAAATACTAAAAAAAAACTAGCTTACCTCGGATGCTTGAACGGCGAATTGTTGTTGGTTGGTTTCAGCGATCGAATGCTCGCATCAGAAGCATCGGAAGCGGTGCGCGGACGGGTTCCGATCGCTCCAAACTACAAAAGGAATGGATTACGGTATCGAGTGGGCGGCAGATAGACAAACTGTCTGGCAGATAAAAAAATCCGTCTTCATCCCAAAATCGTCTGTTAAAACCGATTAAGCGACAGACACGCAGACAAATCAACAGTTTAGCGGACAGACAGACTAACTGGCCGACAAACTGTCTGACTGACAATGCAAAAATCGATATTGAATCGATATTGACCTACCGGATTGGGGCTCCAGGCGGCCGAAGTAGACGGATCAGCATAGGGGAGAAGCTTGCCGAGCATACCGACGATATCGTCGCAGCCCATTGTGTCGGAGTTGTTGAGGGGCGGAATTTTTGACGCTGGAATCTAGTTGGATAAGTTAGAACAATTTTAAAAAGAACCATGAAATGGAAAATTCGAAAAAAATCAAGAAAATCGAGGAAAAATCGATAAAATTCGGGTTTTGAATAAGCAAAGTTCAATATAAAATTTTTAGCTTTAGAATATAAGCAAACTGGCTATCATTTAACTTAAATTAAAAACCAACAAGTTATAAAAATCAATAGAATTTCGGAATTCGGAGGATCGAGTTTCGAAAATCAGCTCTCCAGCTGGTATTATAGCTGAAATGGCCTACAACAGGTCGAATCGTGTCATCTGGGTAGGGGTGGAGCCAATGAATGTATTGCACAAGATGGGGAGGGAAGGGGTGTTCCCCCTATTTTCGAAACTATGACGAAAGAGCGCCAAATAGGGGAGAGGAGGGCCATGCTTTCCCCAAGCCATTCCTGATAAGAAAACAAGAAAACACAAACGGCTGACTAAGGGAGCTGGAATTCGAGATTTCAATTTGTTGCTAGACACTTCGAATTCCTGTGGGGGTACGGTAGCCAGAGGGGTGGTGGAGATACGAAAGAGGGCGTGTGGGTACGTAGCGCCAAAAACTCGAGCGAAAAACGCCAGATACCTTATTTTTAATTCGCGCGCTTTATCTGGATTATCCGTCATGCAGTATACTATTTAAACTTTTAAGCCGGTTGAGAAAATCCGTAGTTCCGGAATTAAAGGGACGGGAAAGCCAAAAAATCGAATTCATGAAATTTTCGAAAAATTCTTAAAACTGAGACCTTTTGGGGGTGGAGTTCCGATGGAACTCGCGCTGAAAAGGCATAGATTGAGGAGCAGACAGCAAGTTCTGCAAACCCCCTCCAAAGAAACTATTCCATTCAGGAAGTTCCGTCCCGTTTTAGAGGTGAGGGGGAAGGGCAGGGCGTGAGAAAGTTCTGATTGGCTTCAGTAGCACACACACACATACAGCATTGCAGCAGATGGCTAGCTAAAAGGAGAGAAAACAGAAAAAGAAAGAGGAATAGAGCCTTTTAAAGGGAGTATGACAGCTACCTTTAAAACGTCAAAAAGCCCGGAAATATCCAAAAAAAAAAGCTATTTTCGCCCAAAAATCTGGCTTTAAAAGTTGAATTACCGTACTTCCCACATTTTTGTATTGAAAACTCTTAACTGCAACTCACCTGACATAATCCCATTTATAAAATCAGAAAACAAAAATAGTTCCAGGATTGAGTATGCAAATGAGGTTTGGAAATGGTCGAAATGCAGGAAATTGTGGTTAAAAGGTACACGAAATCTATTTCTCAAAATTTTCCGAACGCATACTCTGAACTTTCAGCCAGTTGACGCACTCCGTTCAAAAACCCAAAAAATCAGCCTCGGTCTGGAATTCCCGGTATGCAAATGAGCGGCGATTTTGGGTGTGTCTAGCTAGAGAGGGGCAGAGTGGGAGGTCTGCACGGGGGAAAAAGGAAAATGGTCTTGTATGGAATTGGAAGGAAGGAGGGCGGATGGAATGAGTCACAAACTCTTCGGCCTCTTTTTCTCTATTTTCAGCCATTCCCTTCCCCTTCCCTTCTCTTCTATCCGAATTGGGCGCCACTCGCTCACTCGCCGCATACGGCTGTGACGCAATTGTCGCTGGGAAACAAACGGACACGGCGCTGACGGCCTGAAGACCAGCGGAAACTAATAACTGGATGACAGTTAACGCATTGCGTCGATTGGGAATTTTCGGAAAGACGCAAGAGCTAAACTAGAGCAGAAAAAAACTAAAAAGTCGGAAAATTTTTGAAAACTCAGAAAATGGAATTTTATTAAAAAATTAAAATGGTTTAAAAATAATTTTTGCGCATTTTCGCAAGGTTTTTCGCAAGGTTCACCGCTAACCTACTCTAAAAATTGCAGGAAGGTTAAGCAGATCGAGTAAAGAGCGCAAAAAATTTGAAATTTGTGGTATTTGGGTGCGGTATACGGTAAAAAAAGTGTGATATGAATTTAGTAAAACTTTAAAAACTTTGTGGAATAACTAGAGCTGATTTCAAAGGATAAAACGCAACGATAACTCGCCAATTTCACCGCTATCATCTTGGCGAACGGGTGGGAAGAGACATGTGACTCGCGAATGGCCAATACATAGAGACGGCTTTCCACGAGTTGTGCAACTTTTTGATGATGAAATAGGGAAAAGAGAGAGAGAGAGAGAGAGAGAGAGAGAGAGAGAGAGAGAAGAAGAGAGAAGGAGAGGATTAGAGAAACTGACAGCCAGATAGCCTGGAAATGGAGAGAAAATGAAATTTGGAGGCTGACAGACAGAGAGACAAACCATGTGAGCACACAGACCACAAAGAGTAGACACCCCCTGGCGGGGGGTTGGGAGTGTTCTGAAAGGGGCGGGAGGACTACGAGGAAATACGAAAGTCCAAACTCTCGTTTTCCCTCTCTCTCTCTCTCTCTCTCTCTCTCCAGAAAAGAAAAGGGCGTTCCACCCGCCCGTGGCCCCGAATTGGCCCTCATCCAAAGCACTTGTTTTCCTGTTCTCTGGCCCCCCTGGCTGTTAGGTTATCTCTCTTTTTGTCTAATTGTCTGTCTGCCTATCAGTTCGTCTATCTGTCTGCTTCTCTCACTCTCTAACACTTTCTAGCCCGTCTGCCTACTTTCATTGCCCTTTCATGATGTCCAAAGACCATCAACCGAGCAGAGCACCCGTCAATAGGCCTTTGGTGTACTTGAAATTTTTCTATGCGTCAACTGGCTGACAGTAGAGCTAGTGAGCAAATGCAGGCCGTATTTTTGAAGTTTTTGCTCCCTAAATCCAGCCGAAATTTTTTGGTAAACTCGCCCCCAGGTAAGCTGGGTGACAAAAATGCGGAGCGAGGAGGTAAAAATCGGTAGATTGCGAAAAATTCCAAGAAAACAAGAAGTTTTTAATATCTAAAAGTAGCTATAATTCGACTGCCTGCCAGCTAGCGTAAATTCCAAGTAAAAATTTATGTGAAATTTGGAAAAAATCATTTTTACGCATATTTTCTCAAAAATGGGTTAAAACTCGGAATTCAAAGTGAAAATCCTACAGAAACTGGCAAATTCAGAAGCCTAAATGTTTCAAACGTTTAAACTGACTCATAGTTAGCAGAAATCCAATTTCAAAATTTCAAAAAGTTGGGAAAGCTCGATTTTCAGCCGAAATTTTAGGAAAACTGCCCAAAAACCTCTAAAATTCCTTCAAAACAGAATTCGAAAGAAAAATCCTTCAGAAAATGGCAATCTAACGAATTGCCGGGCAGCTCAGACATTGGTGGGTGTGTCTTCGGGAGAGACTGAAGGAATTATTCATTCGGCAAAGTGAGAAATCTGATCCGCTCTCAAATATTGGAGAACAAGGAGAAGAAGTGGAGGAAAGGGGGGATATTCTGGATCTAGAAGATTTGGGGGAGTAAGCAGGACAGACAGAACGACGATCTGGATCCCAGATTATCCCTTAGAATTGAAAAGTCATCGGAAATCGGCGAGGAATTGGAATTGAGGAATGGAATGGAGTGTTTTATAAGCGGGGAGAAAAGGCCAAGTGAAGACCCTTTTTGAGCACGAGAAAGGAGGGGAAGGGGAGGAAGACCATAAACAACGAAAAAGGTTGTTTGTTGACAGTCAGAAAAGAGGGGGAGGGGCTTCGGATAAGCCTTTAATGGGGGAAAACAACGAATGGCTTTCAGAATTGAGAATCGGTCAATGAATTTTGGGAAAAAACTTTGAGAAGCCATTTTAAAGGGATGGTGACAGGATGGAAATCGTTGTAATCGTCAAAACGGCAGGCAAATATTGCATTTTTACTTTTTAGAATTGGAATACTGTAACTTGGCAGCAGGGTTGTTCATTTTGAGTCCCGTCCGCGTCCGTCCGCGTCCGGGACGGGACGCGTCCCGTCCGTCTCATTAGCATAAAATTTTGCGGACGGACGGGACGGACGCATGGCGGACGGGGGACGGGGAGCGTCCGCGCGTCCGAGATGCAAATTAATTTATGGTAATCTTAAAATGAAAACCAGGAAATCACAATAATTTTGCAGATTTTGCGGTGAATTTGATTTTATTGGACAGTAGGTTGCCATGTACAAGTAGACATGCTAAAAACCAGACCCTATCAAACGTTTTACGCCCAACAATCAAAAACCAGGCGCTTCAGTATGATTTGAATCCGGTTTTCTCCTTTGCATCGCGGACGCAGTTACTTCCGGCGTCCGCCGTCCGTCCCGTCCGTCCGGGACGCGTCCCCGTCCGTCCGCAAAAATTTATGTAACTGAGCGGACGGGGACGCGTCCGCGTCCCGGACCGTCCGCGTCCGTCCGCGAACAACCCTGCTTGGCAGGCAAAAGGCCAAATGAAAATCCAGGAAAAGCAAAATGTCCATACTGCGCAAATTCTAAGCTTCCATCCAAAATTCCCGAAATCCAAGCTCAAAACCCCGAAACTGGCAGCCAGCTAAAAGAATGACCTCCCCTAAATACAGTCTGTCTGCCAGATGGGTGGGCAAAAGCCTTGGGAAAGGGAATGGTCTCGTCGTCGGGTTGTGCAAGACAAGCCTCCCCTCTTTTTTTGTGCCCATTCCAGCACATTCCCCCCTCTTTACGCCCTCTTCCACTCGGGACCCGCCCCCTTCTCTCTTTGCCCTCTCTCTTTGCCCTTCAACATGACGAAATACGATGACAATTCCATGCTGAATTATGTGGCGTAAGCCAATAGAACGTTGGGCAAAAGGGCAGAATTGAAAAATGGAAAATTGTAAATCAGGGTTTCGATATTCGATTAAATTAAATTACATTCCCGGAAACTTAAAAGGTCATCATTACGCTATCTGGCAATCAATTACGCCATGTAAATGGCGTAAATGACGAAAGATGATGAGAATTCGTTGAACAATTTGACCGAGTGGGGATTTTGGTCTGGAAATTCCGAAAAAAATGACGAAAATCCGGGGGCAAATCCGCTGGTGAGAATGATGTCTCGATTTAGAAGCAGATTTACAAGACAATCGAAACTGAAAAGGTATCTAAAAATATCTATGATGACTTTAAAAACCAGGGTTAGATTTGAGATATCATTACGCAATGAAATTTACTGAAAAATCGATAATTATCAATCAATCGATAAATTAGTTTCGAAATTACAAGGTATAACTTTAAACTGCCAAGCACTAAAACTGATTATGCGATAAAACCCCCGGAACACTCTGTTTTATAGCGGAATCCGGGTTGCGAGTTGTGATTTGTAACCCCGCAACGGGACCCCAACATGGCAGCCAAGCAGAGCAGAAACTACAAACTATAAGGAGGGGAGGGTTGTGGTTTCTGGATTCTCCCGCAGGGGAGTAGCAGCCAAATGAGAAGGAGGGGGAGAAGTGTTTCGAAAGAGCAAGACATCCTAGCTCAAAAATGGCCCCCCGTGATGCAATACCTGGAAATTGGCCAGGGGGCACTTTCGCAAATCGGGACGGATTTGATGAAATGAATGTCAAAAAGCGTAGGTTTGTGGTTTCTAGCAGACAATTGATAGGACAAAACCACAAAGTTTGAAAAAGCCGTGATGTAACGTTTCGAAACTCCAAATTCGAAATTCAGGAACTCAAGAACTCAAACCACAAAACCGGGGTCTATAAAAGCCGGAAACGAGTTATTTAGGGGCATTGGAGGTCAGAATAACAAAAAATAGAAAACAGATAGAATTTGTAAGGCAGAAATGATGATATTCGAAACTAGCCATGATGTAATTTTTCGAAATTCTGGCACTGGAAAATCAATCCACCAAATAAACTTCTCAAAAGCCGACAACCAGATATTTCACTACATCGGATGTCAAAATAACCAAAAAAATAGAAAATACTCGAAATTTACACGATAGGAATGATGATATTCGAAATAGGGTGGTGAGTGCAAGAATGGACGGGTGGGGACGAGTCTGGCCTTCTCGTTGTCTCTGCCCTCTTCCTCTCCCCCACTCTCTCCCCTCTCTGCGTCTCTCCCCTCCCCCCACTCTCTCCCCAAACAGCTGATCTTCTTCCCGAACCGCGAGAATTGGACGGGTCGAGCTTGTTCCAGAATTGCTCTCTACGGGGTCCGATGGGATCGAGATGAGTCATACTCAGTCTTTCGCGTTTTTTTGAAAGTGCAAAGAATACGGTGGGTACAGTTGAACTTACTACGGTTCACACGAGCTCTGACCAATTTGGTGAGACTTCCTGAAACGACATACCCCTATCGCATAGAAAACTACCTCAAATAGTGAAAATATAGTTTTAAAACCTGAATTATTTTTTATGGGCTGGATTTTTTTTATTGTTTGAATATTGATTGCTTTAAATATCCCTCAAATCCCATGAAAATTGTTGTTCAAGACCTTTCAGAGGCAGCTAAAGATGAAAATCCAAAAAGCTAAGAAGTTTCGCGTCACATTAAAATTCTAGATAGCTTTTAAACGATTTTTAAATAGGATACGGACCCCAAGGATCTTTTTAGCTGCTTAAAAAATTCAGATGAACATACGACACGAAGCTGGCTGGATTTAGAATCGTAGCTCAAGTACTTCCCCAGCTCCTTTTTATACACATCGAGTTAGCAAGGGAAATGATAAAAATCCGTTGGCAAGATAAATATTTTCCCAGAGGGGGTGTTTCGGTCAAAAATTGGGTTCGGGGAAAATCTGGTGAAGATAAGCAATTTTCTCGGACATTTCCGTATCCATACGTATCGGCACATCGTCAGTAGTAGTATGTCGTAGAGGAACCGTAGCCTCCCAAAACTCAATAGATCTATTTCAGGATTGTTTGCCTGGCAGATTGACAAGAAACCTGCAAGAAAAATATCTAAAAGTTCAAACTGGCCAGCAAGGGATGTTTCTGTGCAATTATCTTTCAAATTGTCTCCCAAACTATCTCAAAAGAATCCTAGAAACCTCCTGAAGCCTAGAAACGGGGGAGGTCAGATCAATTATTGGAGTGTTTTCGACACTTTAGCGGAAGTGATGCAAAATTAAAACGACTGCAACCAAAGGGAAACCTCAAAACCGGGCTTCGCGGTTGTCTGGCCGGGGTGTCTGGCAGCAAAGAAGGGTGGAGCGTTGTTTTGCTAGACGGAAAGCGCAATGTCGCGGAATAGAGTGAGAGAGGGGAGAGACGGGTGAGGGACGGTTGTTGTTGTTGGTATATCTCTTCCCTTGCATTCCCTCGTGTGTCTTGTTGTCTCCCCGGTTGCCCAAAGAGATGTTCGAACTCTCGAGGAGAGAGTGGGAGAAGAGAGAGACGCTAGAGAAAGTGAGAAAGATCAGTGCAACCAAAGGGCAAACTGGATATCACTTCACATGTGGGTATCAACGAATTTACTCAATCGGTTAAAAATAGGATTGAGATGAGGGATTCGGCAAAAATTGGCTAAGTGTCCGGCAATTAAGAAAAGGGATCAAAAATTTGGGCTGAGTGAGCCAGCAGAGATTTTTGGAGTAGCAAAAGTTGCAAACTAGCAGACAGCTCGCCTGAAAAATGGCCATTTCGGCTCCAGTTTCAAGTGGGTCATTTAGCAAGATCCTTAGATGCTGTAAAAATGCATACTGTCAGCCAGTTCAATGAAAAAATGATGATTTTTGGCTCTAGAAATCTAAAAGAGGTTCTTTGAGCACGGAATTTTCAAAATGCTATCCAGTTCGACTGAAAACACGATTTTCACAACATTTCTCAAGGAGGGAAGCCAGCAGAGATCATTAAAGGACGTAAAAAAGCGTACTGGCATCCAGTTAAACTCAAAAGTCAGCCAGATTCGAAGGAGGCGAAACCGCAGAGATTCTTTGGCCACGAGAAGCTAGAAACTACCATACAGATAAACTAAAATGATGGTTTCCAAGGCAATTCTCAAGCAGGCAAACTAGCAGAGGTCCTTAGATAATGTGAAAATGTACATTGTCGTCCAGTTAAATGAAAAACATAGTAGAGACATTTTCGGCAGTCCTAAAAATTCGCGGAATGCTACGTAAATGCCAAAATGACGGCCGACTGACTGAATGGTGGTGTTTGTGGAGAGGAGCATCGTCGTGTTGGGGGTTGATGTTTTGTTGACTGGTTGTCTGGCCATGCCCTCTTTTTCAGTCTTTGGGAAAAGAGGAGCCAACGGAGAGGGTCATCAGTATTCCCTCGTACTTTTATTTTACCCTTTCCTCCGTCTGAATGGACTTTTTGATGTCTAAAAGGACATAGCCAAAACAGTATGGTAAATAAGGAACAGATTAGAGGCCGAGAGACGGAAATGGCAGCCCTGAACTATGTCGAAATCGGGGTTTCTGGCGAACCGAATGCGTGTGTGATTTGGATGACTTATTAGGATTTAAAATTTCGAAATATTTGATTTTCACGGGTTTTAAAATTACAAAATGAAAAAACATTCTCATATTAAGTATAAAGTTCAGAAAAATATTGTTTTTCACAAAAATGGCAATTTTGAGCTAAAACGGGCATTTACGCGAATTTTGAAATTGAAGAAAAGTAAAGAAAGTGAATATGAAATCGAAAACAAGCGATAAACGATCTGAATTTAGAGGTTGTACATTCTGAATTTTCAAAATTGAACTTCTAAAAAAATCGATTTTGCTAAAATGTATTTTAATTGAAGAAAGTTAAAATAGTGAAAATTTCAGAACGCTAAAACTCTAAAAACTGCAAAATTTACTTCGTAGCATCCCACCGTAAAATTACATTAGCCGAATTTTCCGCACAAAATTACGACATTAAACTACAAATTACGATGTTAAACTATTTTTTGCAAAATATATTAATTTGCATAGCAGTTTGAATCTTCGTCCGGGCAAAATCTGCAAAAATACGAACAAAACGGCGAAAAATCCGAAACTCGTGGAAACCTGCAAGGCGTGCGGCTCTATTTGTGGAGTTGTTGTGTTGTTGGCGTTCGGCACGTCGGCCCGCTGGGAACGGGTGCCCCAAAAAATACTTATTTTGCGGGAAGCCACAGGGGGAGGGAGCAGAAAGTGCAACCCTTCTTTTTCTCTCGGTTGTTTGTCGTCTACCAATCTATCTGTCCGCCGTCCTTTTTTGTTGTTGTGTCTGCCCTCTTTTCGGCGCGGCATTCTGTCCTTTTTGCCCTCTGCTGCTGCAAGTGGCCGAACATCTACTCCCGCACGGCGAGGAACAACAAATGGCGAGAGAGAGGGAGAGAGGGGGAGAAGGTGTGTGAGAGAGCCAGAGAGAGAGGGAGAGTGGGAGAGAGAGAGAGAGTGAGTGAGAGAGAGAATGCGTGCAACGATGCAGCTAGAAGAGTTCTTTGCCCTGGATGTTTATCGTTTTGTCCAGAAAGAAGTCCCTCACATGGGCATCAACTGAGGGCAGGAATCCCCTAAACACCTCGTGGAGAGAAATGAACTTTGGAATGAGGGGGAATTCGATGAGCACCAGAGAATTTCATCTCAATTTTTCAAATTGAGAAAATGAGTTGAGGATGAGAATCTTTAAATCTCATAAAAAACCAAAATTACTATATACAGCGTGATCGGGTCCAATCGCTTTCAAGTTTTGAACAGAGATGCGCAAAGTTATTTAAAATGCTCACAGAAACTTTCAGCAGTTTCTACAGTAGTTTTCTAGTCATATCAACCTTATTTTGCGGTTTTAACCTGGACTTTGCCGGAAATGGCCCTCGGAATGTATGGAGAAAATGCAGTGCTGAACCTCCGACCTTTTAAGTTCGTTAAATGGGCTTGGAAATAGGAAATTTGGCATTGAAAAGCATACTCGACTACGATTTTAGGAGTGAATATGGCTTTCGAGCAAGAAAGAGCCGCAATGAAGCGAATGTTTTAGAAAAACAGCATTTTTGACACGATTAACTCGAAAACTACGGTAGCGATCGGCTGAAAGTTTCTGTGAAGGTTTTAAATACCTTTGTGCGCTTTTGATTATAATTTCAAGTGTCGAACAGAAATAGCGAAATCGAAACTGAGCACGGCAAAAAAATGGAAAAATGTTGAATTTGAGTGTTCGTTCGTGGCTTTGAATGCGTACTAGCTTTCCATTTTCCGGTTAAAATTTTGGCTTCAATATTTTTACATGCCAGTTCGCTATTTATGTCATCCACCCACCCGTTTTCTTTATAGACCGCCGGTTTAGCATGAATTTTTGGAGGGCTGAATGGTGTATTTGGACAGCTTGACATCGTCTACTCCCTCGTAGAACCACCCACTTTGTTATACATCGCTTGCATTAGCTCCAAAAATCGTCTATTTGCCCTTCAAATTTATATCGAAAAATGTCGAGATTTATATTGTCGTCCAGAAGGGCTTCACTATTATTTTTAACACTATACGTCGTGGTTTTGACGTTGTTTCAGGCAAGATTTTGTGCTTTTTATTAATCATACCTTTCTTTTTTCATTTGATATCCTGCATTCCGAAAAGGCCAGCTAGCAGAGAACCTTGAGGAATTTTTCTAGCGTTAGCACAAAACCTTAAAAACGCATTCAATTTGTTTAAATTTAAAAAATTTGATGCCGCAAGCTAGCAGAGACTTTTTGGGAATCCCTGCGACCGGAAATCTGGTTTTACCGTTTTAGGAAATTTATTGGGAAACCTAACGTTTGGGTAATTTTTTAGGTTTCTTTGATTGTTTTTAGCCTTTTAGAATAGCATAAATTACATAAATATGCCATGGCAGGCTGGCAGAGATTCTTTAGGAAATTCTACTAACAATGCTATTTTTTAGATCTACCGTACCCCAGCTGGCCCAAAATTATCGTACCCAGACACTAATGGGACGGCCGACGAAATCAGATCCGGTTTCTGCATCCACTATGATTTTGTGAGGGCCCGTTTCAGGTGTCGCTGTCCCTTTAAACTCTATAAAATGCTTCTGAGTCTTAGTTTCTCGAATTCTGAAGTCCCAGTCTCACTTTGCAGCCACGCCACAACAAATTATTTGCCGGCAATTGCTCGCCAGGTTGGTGATTGACATTCGATTATGCAATGTAATTCCGAATACCGTAATATTGTTTGTTTTTTTTATTTGTTCTGTTTTATATTTTTAAACTGACTGTCAGATAGCTGAATGGCGGGCCCCGATTTCCGTTAGCCTGCTTATTGGCCCGGAATCGAGAGAAGCACTGTATGAAATCCGGAGGGCCCATGTTTGCGATCAAGATTTTGGCGAAATGGTCGGGTTTTAATAATTATTTTGTGGTTTGGAGTAGTAATTTTTGCAAACTGACCGCCTGGTTTGCCATATGCACTGCTCAGAAAATTTCTACAACAACAAATTTTCAAAAAATATGGATTCTTGAGGTGTCGATCCACATTGTCTATTCTACCTCGCTACTTGGCACTTGTTCAAAACTCCCCGATTTTGAGGACAAATTATTCGATTGTAGACAGTTTAATAGTAAGTTTACCACTACAATAAAGGAACTGGGAAGTGCGATAATCGACCCCCCATGGACTGCGTCTAGACAACTACGCGAAACACCAAATCACGCGTTTTTATTCGATCCGTGTTTCAACTTGTGAATTCAATTAATTCTGTTTCTGAAGCGAAAAAGAATTAAATTTTGAATATGTATTTGAAATGCCTTTCTTTAGTTTCGAATGCATTTTCCTATTTCCGCCCACCATTTGGCATCTATCCAATAAATGTGATGCGAAATGTCGCGAGAATTGGATCACTTACTGAGCTCCAATTCTGTAGGTTCATTAATTTTAACTTTATGTTCCCATTCTCAATTCTGGCAAACCGCCCCCCCAGTTAAAAAAATGCCTATTTTAGTAGCTGACATCGAGATGACGTTCTCACGGAATTTTGAAGCCCAGATTCGGCCTGTGGTCAATGAATGGATGATGCAGGGGAATAAAACTGTTTTTATTATCAGGTAACGCGAGCATTTTACCAGAAAAACTAAAAAAAATAATTGAGACGTTTTGAAGCTACCGTATACCCAGATCCGCATATTCCAAAAGACATTCTGGCATTGAGAGCTCGATTTCGGCAGAAAACGTATGGTTTTGTGGTTTGTAGTACAGAAAAACTATTCAAAAACTAGTTTTATTTAAAAAGCTGGAATTTGTCTTTTAGTGCCACTTTCTTCCACCGTTTCTCTTTTCCCGAGGGTCATTTTATCGAGGAACAGGGCGAATGGGTCAATGCTTCCATCGAAACACCGGAAATCGCGGTGAAACCGCATCGATATAGGTAGGCAAAATGTTCAATGTTGTGATTTAATTTTTTATCGTTGGTTTTCTGATTTCTACTAGGTTATCTATTCTTTTAAAACATCATTAAAAGTATTCCTTATTATAAGTAAGTAGATTGTTAGTTCAAAAGCTCATTTTAATTCAACCGCGTTCGATTTATATTACCTCGGTTTCAGAGGCGGTTTCTGGGAACCGCAGCCGCTCCTCCATAAATCCGCTCCATTATGCCATGAAAATGTGCCGACCCGGTTGAGGGATATGCAATATTGCGTGGGTTTTATCGTTTACAGGAACTTAGACGTTCCAGTATCGACCCTTTCCATCGACCGGGTCTAGACATCGATCTACGCCACGTAGACATCTACGTTTTTCTTTCAGATTTACGCCCTCTGCCGAGCGGGCTATCAATTCGCAGTTCCAACTCATGTTTTTAATGTACATCCTGGAATAAGGAACACAACTTCACCACTTGATACGGCAATTCGGAATCATCAGAAACCACTAGGGTAAGTGGGGGCATCTCGCCTCACTGTTGCCCTCTCGCGCTGTCTCTCTCTCTCTCTCACTCTCTCTCTCTCTTTCGCTCGCTGTCTCTCTGGACTAAACTGTCACCGTTAATTTAAAATCGTAGCAACCATTCCTTTTCAGCTTAGCCAGCGCCGAAGGTTTCCAGAAAGCGATGGATCTACAGTACCCAGATACCGGAAATCTATGCGGATCATTCTTGACACCATTCCACTTGGGACCCAGATCGGGGCCTCCGCCTCAAATTGGAGGAAATTGGGGACCGTCGATTTAGAGGAATTGCTGTTTGGATGGTCGGTTGCCATTTCAATCAGCGTTTGCAAGCTGATACGTCTAATAACGCCTTACATCTAACATTTCAGGAATGCGGCCACCACTTACCTCTTCAGCCGGAGAACTAGCGACAAATTCTATGGCATTCTTTTGGCCAGTGATTCATCAGAGACCGCTTCTCTTTTACACTAACTGCCTGCTGTTGTGGCCGGGGGAAGATAAAGCCTGTACCTTTATTTCAAGATTATCCAATTTTGGGGTGTCTAACCGCGTGTCTCTGTGGGCAGCTGTCCCTTTCGCAGCCCATCGTAAATGCCATAACTCTCCGGTACTTGGCGGAACGGACGCTCCTCTTTCCGATGGCGTTCCCAGATTTAGGATAACACAGGCTGATTACAGGGTGTTCCAACAAAAACCACCCCCCTTCTAACTCGCCGCAGAAGTGTCGGATCGGAATGGTAGTTACACCATTCGAAAGCCCTTGAAACGGCCAGTTGGCAACAAACTTCAAAACCATGTGTTTATTTAAACCGGACACTTGTAGACTTTTGCGGTTCAGGCATGTTTTATAGGCCCTGGCTTGACCTCGGCATTTTCATTTTTAGGGATTTTTCTACTTGACGAGCTGATTTGCCTCAATTTCTCCATGCAAAATGACCGGAAGTAGCCATTAATTAGATGCAGTGGCGTTTTTCAATGCCTTTAAATTCGCGAGCAAATGGTGAATTGAAATAAACACTGTTTTGTGAAAATTGTCGCAAACTCGCCGTTTCAAAGGCGTTTGACTGGTGCCGATCCGATACTTATGCATCGAGTTACAGATCGATTTTATTTATTTGGGCACCCTGTACAAGTTTGCAACGTTCAAACCGGTTTTGGTCATGTTTTAGCGTCCCAAATCGGTCGTTTGCATAATGTGCACAAACCAAAATAGGCCGCTGGTTTCAAAATATTAGACAGCATGGATATACAGACACTGGCGTTAGGAAATACTCGGGCCCGAATCGGCAAAACGGTATACGGTAGCGGATCCACGTTTTAGCAAGCAACCTTTTGGACCGTATCAAAATTTTATTCGCCTTCTCCTCGTCTTCAGTATTTTACAGCTTTCACAATAAAAGTGAATAAAGAAAGGGTAAAAAAGAAGAAAAATAATTTTATTAACAAAAAACTGATTTGGACGCCGGCAGTACAGACAGGCACGCATCCACGTTGGTTTTCGACTTTTTGCTACATGCTTTTTCAACTTGACTGTAGACAAAGCTTCGTCAAATCAATAACAACTATTCTTGCTCCTCGCGCTGTTGGGCAAAGAAGTTATTTCAAGCCTTCCGCTTTTGCCTTTGATAATTTTTGCCGGGTTTTCTAAGCGGCGTAGCTTTTCGAGTTGCTACAGGGAGTTTATATTCTGGCTACAGCAACTAGATGTTCGCTGCCATGGGATCGAGCTCAGGATCCAAACCAGCCGAATGTATCGCGCTTCAACGTCTTTATCCAGAAATTAAATAAGGTTTCCTAGTTTGGAGTTTAGTTTGGTTTTAGTTTTAGTTTATGCTAGTTTTTGTGTTTCCTTCCGGATTTTTATTTCTTAACATTCTTAACTTCTCAACATGGTTTAAAGCTTTGTCTACAGTGAATTGGGTAAGGTATGTAGAAAAATTCTAAAACCAGCGTGGACGCGTGCCTTTCTGTGCTGCCGGCATAGAACTAACTTTTTTTTTCTTCAATAAGATGCACTTTTGTTTTGAAAAACTGTAACTTGCTGAAGAATAGTCAAGCTTTTTTATACAGTTCAAAAGGTTGCTGGCTAAAACGTGAAAACGCAACCATATACCGTTTTGCCGATTCGGGCCCGAGTATTTCCTAACGCCAGTTATACAGACACCCCACGATATACAGTATGCCTTTGAACAATTTTTGTGCTTCGGAAATGAGACACGGTGGTCACGCTACCCAATCGGGCCGTTGACGCACGGTGATTTACTAAAGTTATCATTAAATTTCTTTAGCAAGACTAACGTGGAGATGACACTCGTTTCCCAATTTTCTGAATTTGTGATTGTAGCGTGTGAACGACGTGAACAATCTTCCCATCAGCTTTCAATGCACTAACTAGGAAAGTGCCTGAATTCATGAAAAAGACTCATGATTCATGTACGATTTTCTTGAAAAAACACCTCAAAGCAAAAACCGCAAGAAATTTCCTGACAGCCAAATAGAATCGAACGAAAAAGGATTTTGGAGAAGCGCTCGCGTTTTTTCTGCAAAAATCCTCGTTCTTCTGCTGCCCAACTCAATTAGAACGTTCGTCAAATCGACATTCTAGAATGTCGAGAATTCTGTTTTCCTGTAGACGGGCTTCCCTGCTATTTTTGGCCCTATATGGCGTTACTTTGACCTTATTCCAGGCAAGTTTTTTGTAGGATTTTAAATGAACTTGCCATTTTTGCATCTATCGCCGGGCAAGCTAGCAGAGATTCTGGGTTCTTTGGCGTATTGGGGGGGGGGTTGAACTTCTTAAAAGTGTCCCAACGCCTAGTAACTAAATAGAAAATGTTTTAATGGTGTTTTTATTAATATATAACAATATTTCAACTAGAAAAACCATCTAAAAATTTTTAAAAAATCGAAACTTTGGTCATTTTCGGTCGAAACATTGATATTTAGATATTTTTTAATACAAATTGCAAAGTTTTCAGGTTTTGTAATATTAAAAAACCATTTAGAAACACTTCCACGATTTAGATTGGAAGAAAAAAATTGGTTGTCTTTGAAAGTTTGGCCTATAAATAATAATCATCCTAGCTAACACAGCAAAGATTCTGTGGGAATTACAGCTCAAAAATAGCAGCTTTTCAGCTCTACCGTATTCGGCCAACGCAAAAATTATCGTTTGTTGACCCTGATGGGGGTGCAGACGAGGTCAGATCTGGTTTCTGCGTTCACTATGATTTTGTGAGGGCGCGTTTCAGGTGTCGCCCTTCCCTTACACTAAACAAATCTTAAAATTCCAGTTTTTTAAGTGGCGAAGTACCTGTCTCTCTTTGTAGCCATGCCACCGCCAATTATCTGCCAGCCATTGCCCGCCAGGTAAAGAACAACGCATTCGATGACAACGCTCTCAAGGAGCCGTTTTTGAGTGCCGCTCGGGCTTCGGAATGGCACGAAGCCAATCTTGTGTAGAATTTAGCGCTGATTCAGAATATGGTTACCGTTGTTGCGGAATAGGCAATTCTTGAAAGTGGTGAGCGATTTAAGGCGGAAAAGGGACAAGGCAGCAAAGTTTGATGGACGTAAGAAGTTCCGCAATAGATTTCGGAAAAAAGCAGTTGGCGCGTCTTATTTAGGAAAAACTTTTATAATTAAGCTGCGTCATGAAAAAAATTTGTGCTAAAAATTGAGGATCTCCATTCTATGGAAAAAAATTTTTGGAGACAAAATGCACGAGCTGGTTTTTTAAAAAGCCTATTTCACCAGTCACATCCATCGAAAGTAGCGAATTTTTGGGTTTTTTTAAATCGTTCATAACTTTCGAGAAATGCCTATTCATCAAAAACGGTAACCATATTCGGAATCAGCTCAAAAGTCTGCAAAATATAGACTTGGTCCGATCCGATCCGGCGCCTCCTTGTTAGTCAGAAATTTCAAATCGCTAGCACCCGAAATGGAGACATCCCAGCGTGATATTTTTTGATTCAGACACTCTATGTAGTGTATGATCTAAATATTAGGTATCAGAATGGCGAGCCCCGATTTCGGTTAGCGTACTGATTGGTCCCGAAACGACGGAGTCGCTTTATGAAATCAGGCGGGCACATGTCTGCGATCCGAGTTTTGCGGAAATGGTCAGTTTTGAACGGACTCCTCCGTCATTAGATTTTTCTTTATGCAAACTGACCTCCAGCGAACATTTTTTCAATAAGCACGAACCATGAAACACATGAAAACAATCGCTATTCGCAAACTAAAATAATCGCGCAAACTCATGAAAATAATCGCTGCATTTTGGCAGAAACTCAAAAAATGTCAGGTTTCGATCCATGTCGTCTATGTAACTTCTCTGATGGGAACTTGCTCAACATTGCCAAATTTCGAGGATCGGCTGATTAATTGTACACGATTTAATAGTGAGTTTATGGGCCCCGGGTTCTGCTTCGTTAGCGGGGGGACTCGCATAACCCCCCCCGCTAACGAACCAGAACCGACGACTGGGAGCCAAATAATAATTTCAGTTTCCAAGGCCTTTTCCCGTTTTCGTGCTCCTTTCGGAATCTACCCGATAAATGTGATGCGAAATGTCGCCCGAATTGGGTCCAGAACCCAACTTCAATTTTGTAAATTTCACTGGCACATTCAACGAACGATGTTTAACAGTGGCAGACATCGAAATGGAATTCTCACGGAATTTCGAGTCGCAAATCCGTCCCGTTGCCAATGAATGGATAATGCTGGGGAATAAAACAGTTTTTATCATCAGGCAGGTTGACGATTAATCCCGAAAACACATTAAAGAAATCAGTTTCGGCAAAAAATTCCAATTTTAAAACACTAAAAATTAGAATTTTCATCATCATGTTTTTCCAAAATGATTTCGTTTGGGAACTGTTCTATTATGCGGGGAGCCGAGAGTGATTTAACAGGGCAAAAACCTTTTAAAAATGAATTTAGACGTTTTGAATCTGCCGTCAGCCCAGATTCGCAGATTCCAAAAGAAATCCACATGTTGAGTGCTCGACTCCGACAGAAAACGTGCGGTATTCTGCTTTTTCAGCATACATACCATGGTAGTAATTACCCAAAATGAGAGCAATTTATATAGACCTAATCGACTTGACGACCCTGATTTATCACCTAGAAACAATAGATTCCAATTTTTAGTGCCAATTTATTCCACGGTTTTACATTCCCGGAAGGCCATTTTATTGAGGAACAGGGCCAATGGGTCAATGTGTCGATTGAAACGCAGGACATCTCGGTGAAACCCCATCGATACAGGTACCTTCGGTTTTTTTAGTATTGTCAGGAAGATTCCGAAAAGAGTTTTGAAAAGGCGAGGTTTTGGGCAAAAACGGCCATATTGGCTAAAAAGCAATCAATTGTTTTGATTTTTTAAATCCAAATTTCTAGTTATTCCGGTTTCGGAATAGTAAAAAAAAGTTTTGTGACACTTCCGCTATTCATACACGGGGGCCAGGGTTGAAAAGTCGCGAAGCGGCGATTAGCTGCGTTTGGATTAGTTTAAGCTTTCGTTGATTCTCCGGTTTCTTTCAGAGATGCATACTGGGAGCCACAGCCCCTCCTCCATAAATCAGCCCCATTATGCTATGAAAATGTGCCTACGCGAGTGCGGGATATGCAATATTGCGTGGGCTTTTCATGAACTTTTACGGACAGCTACAATCGATTCTTATCAAGGTGTCTAAATTCCATGATCTTTCGTAACGATTTTTTTGCATAAGGATTCGGGAGCTATCCGGGAAAATTTGCTTGTAAATTTCGACATTATGAATTTCGACAGTTTGAAAGAAACCCACTAAAGCCGACTGTATAATTATGCTGTCACAGATCTACGCCCTCTGCCGTGCGGGCTATCAATTCGCGGTGCCATCCCACATATTCAATGTCCATCCCGGGATCAGGAAGACAACCTCATCACTTGATGCGGCTATAGCAAACCATCAAAAGCCACTCGGGTGATCCACCGCGGAAAGATGTTGAATTCTATTTCAGGCCGCCCAGTGTCGATGGCTTTCAGAAAGTGATGGATCGACAGTATCCCGAAACCGGCGATAGATGCGGATCATTTTTGAAGCCGTTGCGCTTGCCATTGAAACCATAGCCAACCTCGATAAAAATTGGAGGAAATCGGGGAACTGTCACTCTAAAAGCATCCTTTTGTGTCACCTTGCTCTATCAGCACAACTCATTTTTACGTTGTTTATATAATGCCAATGCAACATCTTCTCAACCCTTCAGTTCGGGAGCAAATTACAGAGTCCCTGGCGTGTTTAGGCAGTTATGATTTGTGAGGTATGATTGTTCTGCTATGTTTTGTATTTTGCCTCTCTCAAAATAAAGATTTTACTATGTATTCTGAATAATCTCGTCGATGCCCTAGGGGTATACAGAATATTCAACGAGCCCAAGAGGAGAGGAAAGAGAGGGTGGGTGACGTTGAGCAATTCTCCTCCTCGGACATGAGACACGGAAGTCACGTCGTCTTCTAAAAGGAACTTTAAGAGAGAGCGGAAGAGATAGAGAACGGGAAAGAGAGATAGAAAGAGAGAGAGAGCGAGAGAGAGAGAGAGAGAGAGAGAGAGAGAGCAAGAGAGAGCGAGGGAGAGGGAGAGAGAGAGTGAGCGAGTGATAGATAGCAGGTTTTAGCCCAAAACCTATCATTTCCGGCCCACCAGCTAACCGGAACTTCCTAGATTTAACCGGAAATAGGTTTTCTGACGTGAAGTTTAGAAGCTGGAGAGGGACAGAAGGCGAGAGAGTAAAGAAAAATTTTCGAACTTCACGAACTGAGGTTTCGAGTTTTTCAGTTTTTTTATAAAACCTTGCGAACAACAAAATTCGAGCTAGAGAGCGAGCGAGTGATAGAGCCAGAGAGAGAGAGAGAGAGAGAGAGAGAGGGGGCGAGAGACAAGCCTAACAGAGCAGCTAATCACATTCCAAGCCTGCAAACTTCCCAAACCTGAAAAAAGGATTTATTTCCGTAGCCTCCTCTGCAATTCACTTACTTACCCGATACGTCACTGAATGGTTGAAATTGAACGGGAAGACATTCTGTCGAAAGCGGAATCGAAAAAATCCTTCAAGGAGAAAAGGGGAAAACGATTCCGGGGCAACCGGGGATTGGAGGTTGATTCGGTCTCTTCTCTGCGCCCTAAGCCCCGCCCCTTTTCCCTGGGGGTCTCTGCCCCGGTGTGCATTCTGTCTTCTGTCTATCATAATCCCTTTAGAGACCCAATCTACCCTCGAGAAAGACGAAACCATCGGAATTCAATTCTTCCCCCTCCCTCCCACCGCGATTTCCACCTATTTTAGAGTTTCGATACCGGTTTGGATTCAGTTTTGGACGAAACTAGACAGTTTCCTCGGTTTTAGTTTTTAGATTTATTCTTAGCCTACAAACTATCTATTAATATCCTTACAAATCTAGTTTTCCAAAATTTTCCAGGCTGGGTATTACGGTAGCTTGGGCGCGGCTCGTACGGTCTGTAACTTTTCTTTGTAAAACCAGATCGTCGTCTTGTTTTCTTTTTACAGCTATTCTATCTAGGACTCAACTACCTCTTGGCACCTTAAAAAGTTAGATTTTCAAAAATTTTGAGGATTGAGGTATTACGGTATCTGGGCTGACTGCCCTACTGCAATGACTTGTTTCACGGTATTTCCCGTGTTTTTCACATATTTCCTTAGCCATTGCCAGGCAGTTAAGTTAGCCTTTCCGGTTTAATCTAAACGCGGCTTAAAATTTTCTCAAATTCCGTTGGTCACCAAAAAACTCGGCTGAAAAACGATCCGCTGTCTCGGTTGCATGTGGAACTGCCTGGTTTGGCCTTTTCGCTGTGCTTTTGGTTGCAGCAGGCTGGAGGAGGATTGGATGAATTAAAGACCAAACCATGGAACCTCGAAATCGATGATTTTCGGTCTCTTTTTCTAATTTTCTCGCCTTTTGAATGCTCTCGTTTCTTGCGGTGTCATTTAGGCCGTAATTCCGTCTAAATGTAGATTGCGACTTGCTAAAACGATTTATCTGAAAAAAAATTTGTCTGTCTGTCTGTCAAAATTGCAAAAATGTCTACGTGTTCGTGCTTTTATCTGTGTGTTTATTTCGTCGCTTTTCTCTCTCTCTCTCTCTCTCTCTCTCTCTCCTCCCCGTGTTAATTAGATTCTAAATTAGCATTTCAAATCAACTACGCATCCACCTCGGTCTCGCTCAATTTGTCTCGTTGGTTCCAACGGGGTTTCCAGTGTTCTTTGAAAACCCCAATTTTCTCCGCTCGTTGACTTCAAAAATTGCCTTACTGACAACCAGTTGATGTCACTACACCTTTAAAAATTTGCTGAGGTGGTTGGTTTCTTAAAAATACTAATGACGGCACCGACGTCCGCTAACCGCTACCACCCTGCCAGGCAGTAAATTCAATTTCAATATTTTAAAGGCCCAACCCACTCTCTTTTCGCCTGAGGAAAATGAGGTGTATTTTGGTGTAGTCCTCTTCCTCTTGGCAGCAGCACCACTAACTCTATTTCCCTTCCAAAAAATATTTTCCACCCCCACAAATTCTCATGCGGTAGCTAGCAGAAAACCTGAGGAAATCCAGCATCCTGTTGAACCCACCTTTCAAACGATGAACGCGACACGCAACGCGTGCTCCCGCATTTCGTTTGCGTAAAGATTTCCATCTTTTCCTGACCTTCTCCCTGACCAAAAATCCATAATCATGCCATGCCCCGTGCCTTTAAATCCCATAAAAATTAAGAAATGAAATTCATGCAGACGTGCTTTTTGTGATTGTATATTTGTGTGCGACGTCAGCTTCCGTCAATCTGTCGACTGCTATCACATTAGAAGCCTTCTTCTCCTTTCCCGTATCCTCTCCTTAATGCACAAATTACCCTCTCTAAAGGGCTCGTGGAAGGGACGGCAGCGGGATTGCGGATAATTGCCCTGGCGGTGGCTCTGGCTGTGGGTTGTTGGATTTAGGGTATCAAAAAGAAAAGATACACTTCCAATGTTTTATTTTAGCGATTTTAGATGTTGATGTATTTAGAACGTAATTCTTGAACATCCGCACGTTTCTCCGAGAATCCCCGCTAGCTTTCCTTTCGATTTGAATTTCAGGGGGTTTTTACAGGATGAATCATCGGATGCCTTAGCGATCCATTCCGTCAAGAATCACTGCTAGCCGCGGGGATGATGCCGCTGCGTTGCGCGTCATTTTATTGATTTTTCCACTCTTTAGTGCTCAATTGGTTTTCTTCTTTAAAAAAAACAACATTTTTTTCGAGAGAATTAACATTTTCAGGCATCCCAGCCACTCCTTGGCCCCTCCCCGTTCTCCACACCCCACCAGAAACAATGCAAGCAAAAGCATTATTCCTTGTTGTTCTCATGCTCATCCTTTTCGTACTACACGGTAAGTTAAACATATTTTGCTTTTATGAAACCTATAAAAAGTGGACAATTTAGAAAAATTTCGAAATTCTATGCATAAATTGCAAAAGTTTTAAAGGTTTTAGTTGCTGATTCTTAGGTGTCACGCTGCCTTCAAAATTCTCAAAATATAGAAATTTTTAGCCTTCCCTCAATACGCGCCAGACGATGATGCGGCACAATTGATTGGCCAGTCCGATCTACATGGATTTTACCCGGTTGCTTCGGAGGGCAGGTAACCAATTTTCAAGTTATTTGGAGCCAGAAGAATGAACATGAACTCCATTTTTTCCAATTGACATCCATCCTACCCATTTTGATTGCGTAATCTGATAGCCAACGAACAAAAATCCGGAAATCCCCCGTTTAGATTGTTCTTTCTGTTCGCATTTGGCCTGGATTGACCCTGGGGTCAGATTTCAGTGGGCTGGATGGACCCCTTGGTTTGTCTAGCGAGAAATTTACCCAAAAAAGAAAAATGGAAAAATGGCAAATAATGTAGCTCAATATTGTAGGCACAAGCTCCGAAACTCTTTCCAGTAAGTAGAAAATCAATAAATTTTAAGCAGATAGAGCCTTGGAAAATTTTATGGAATGCAATTAATCGCGTAGCTTGTAGCCTAGCCAAAATAGAATGTGGGAGCGTATTTTGTAGTATAGTTCTGTAGTTCCATTAAATGCGTTTGAACAGGGTCAGGAAGTCCGAAAATCGACCCCCTTTCAACTAGCTCTAGACAGCCACACAGCGCCCCAGATGACACAGGCAATTTTTTGATATAAGCTGTCGAAAATAAATTCTTCGTACTTGCGTAATTGGATGTAAGATGTAGCTGTCTAGACCTAGTCGGTCAAAAAGGGTCGATTTTGGCGCTTCATGGTGCCTTGAAAAAAGCAGAAAAATTTTTCAAAGTCAATTATCACTATTTTTTAGTGACGGCCGCCTGAAACGGGCAATGTTTGTGGCTCGTATCGGGAAACGAGTCGTCAAGAGACCATCATATTATGCGGCTAGAATTGGCAAGTAGCCAATTTATTTCCATCAATAAAATTGATCGATATCCGTCTGTCCATTTCTCTGCCCTCTCTCCATTCCCTCCGACTCTCTCGTCGCTAGCCCCTTTTTCGAATATTTTTCGGTCAATAAAAGTGCCACGTGTTTATATCTGAAAGCCAGGAAATACCCGAATATTCCGAAAAATACAAAAAATACTTATATACACACAAAATAGCAAAAATTTCTCGATTTCAATCGGTTACGTCGTCAAAGTAAAATTTAGGCAGCAGAAACCACCGCAAAACAAAAAATCAATTGATTACGCCATGAAATACAGAATTAGCAACGATAAAAACCGTATAGATACAAAAATTCGATCGATTACGCGGGTAAATCCCTTAAAGAGCTTCAACAGTATCCACAAGTCTTCCGGCAGTGTTTCTTGAGAACGTCGCGGAAATTCGCTTTCTGACACTGCTCGACAAAGAATTTGCAGGAGATTTTCTGAAAAATTCATTTTAGAGGGATTGGTAAGTCAAGCTTTGGTGAGGTCTATAGATTTTTCAAGCTTTCTGGCGATCAAATCATCTTTGCTAGTTTGCCCCACCGGGTAAATTCCAGTAATTTCGAAGACAAATTTTTCTAAACTGCTGCTCAAAGTGCCTGCTACCCTAATCGAAAGGCTGTCTGCTGGCTAAAGCAAACGAGCCGAGATCCTTGGAGAAGATCAAGAAATTTTGATTCTTTAGTTCCTAAATGATATCTACTAGCTTGCCCTTCCCTTCTCAACTTCAATTTTGCTCACCAAATCCTCGCATTCCACATCGTTTCCATCCTTTGCCTCAATGACCACTTTCGGTTTCTTCACTTCATCCTTGATATTGTGCTCTTTTTGGGGGCTTTTCGGCAGTTCCACCAATTTCGTCGTCTTTTCCATCCCTTTACAGTATCCACAAGTCAGCGCGCAATAATTCTCCATCAACGCTTTGTACGAGGGAGCCTCGCATTTTCCTGGAAATGAGAAAATTGTCGCGATTTTTGTGGAAATCAGCTCACTGTCAGTCAAAAAACTAGAAAAACCCCTTGAAAATTTGTCAACTGCAATACTTTTTGATTTTCAGGACAAAATTAGGTGAACTGCCAGGCAGTTACTCCATTAAAATAGCTAGTCTCTGGTTTTCCCAAAATTTTCTAGATTTTTATGAAATTAGCTGATTGTCTACCAGATAACTAGGGAATCAATTCAGGTTGTTAACATTTGCGCAGTTTTCGGATTTTCGACTGAAATATGCCTAACTATCATCCAATACCGTCATCAAAATCATTAATACCAACCGGCCTCCTTGAAATCGTGACAATTCGAAGTTCTATCGAAGCATTGGGCCGAAGGTACGGTAGTATCCTCTTTTCCGCCATGCAGCGGCTTTTTCTGGACGCCTGAAAGGGATTGGATAGAAGAGAGAGAGAGAGAGAGAGAGAGAGAGAGAGAGACGTAGAATGCACCCGAAAGCCATTATCCGCCCACTCACCGGATTCAGGATTCAGTGGAGAAATAGGGGTAGGGCATTTCCCTAGACGATTCAACTTTCGAATGTCTGTTGGGGAGAAGGCCATGTTGTCACCCAGGGAGACTCCCGCCTGAAAATAGGAAATTCGGAGTTTCTAGTTTGTAATTTTGAGGATCGTAGTCTGTAGCTTTACGGATTTTGAGCCGGAATTCCTTTTTAGCTCGCTCGAAAAGTAAAAAAATCCAGTTCCGTGGTTTCTGTCAGCCGCAGAATTTATAGTTTCGTCAGAAAGCCAAAAACTTGTAGTTTGTAGTCTGTAGTTTCACTTTTTGCTAGCCATAATGCGTCTTTCAAGTGGTTCGCAAGATAAAAATCGTCTTCACCAGAGTTTGGAGTTTTTTTGTAGTCCGGCAACCAGAATACAAAGTTTTGTAGTTTGTAGCTTGTATTTTTACTATCTGCCAACCGGAGGGCCCATTTGTCGAGTTTTTTAGGCAAAAAAATTGATAAATTTACCTTTTTCGGAATCATCGTAGCCATTCGTACTTTTCTCTTCTCATCCAACTTTCCGAAAGCATACGAATCGTAGTGCATCAGCGACTGAAAAAATAAAATTCGGTATATTTAACTCACTGAATAATCGTATTTATCCGGGTAGTCGACTTCATTCGCGCGGATTTTTTCGAAATTCACTGGAAATATGGATTTCAAAAGCTCATTAAACGACAGTATACCCATTTGTGCGGGGATGACATTCTCATATTTCACGGTCAAGTGATTGTCTCGATCGGGCCGTTGATGCTCGTGCTCGAAACCGATCGCGTGCATCATCTGGAAATCGTCAAAAGTGGTAAAAAATGTGATTTTTTTAAGGATTGAGCCTTTCTGGATGCCAACTGGCACGCTCTCTTTAAAAAACTGAAATATTTTTTGCACCACTTGTCAATAAATTTCCGCTTACTTCATGCCAAATAATGAAATCAGCCAGACAATCCGGAGAAAGAGACATCAGTTGGCCACCTCCTAAAAATACGTTTTACCACTACAGTTAGATAACTACGAAACCGGGAATCGACCCTATCATGCGACTAGGGATAGAAGCTACATGACACGCCAAGTCCCACGTACAAAAGAACTCCATCTCTCGCCCCTAGTCCTATAAAAAAGAGATTGCACGTGTCATTTGGAGCTGTGTAGACCTAGTAGATCTGTGAGGTTGAATTTTTGCGAACCCGAGTATCAATACTTCCGTCGCCTAGGTCTAGACACTTACACACACAATAGGCCAATTGACATGTACGGAAACTTTTCGATTTTGGTGATTCGATTCAACCCATCATTTGTACCACCGCGTAGCTGTCCAGACCTAGTCAAAAGTGGGGTCGATTCTCGCTCTTTCCAGTCCCATTTAAACTCACCAATCCTCCCAACATATGAATAGCACCCATCCAACGGGACAATGAAGACGTAATCTTTTTCTGATTTTCTTTCCACGAAGCGGAAGCAAGAAATCTTTTCCATTCCTCGTAGAGACGAGCGGATTATTTGCTTTCTGAAACACCCTATTACGATAGGTAATTAAAAAGGAATTTGGAAAAAAAGGATATAATGATTTTTCCATGTAATAGTCGGTCATGTAATGTAATTTCTAATGAAAAGACTTAAAAATAAAAAAGCCATGAATTTGCTTACTGTTGTGAGGTGTACTGCGGACTGACGGCATATGGTACAATATTATTGATCCATCTGTTGTGGGCGGATTCTTTCCGAGACACTCCTCTAACCAGAAGACTCCCATTTTCGATATAGCGGGCCAGTTGGGGAGGCGTTAGCACTGGAAATTAGGGGATATGTTCATGGCAATTTTTGAAGCTTTTTGGAGCTAAAAAAATTTCTTTTGTAAGAATTTTAGAACCCAAATCCACAGGAATCGTTTTTCAAACTACCGTAACTCTGTAAAACTATTTCTTTGCCGAAGCTCGATTCTAATTTCTTAACTGACAACCAATTAACATTTTTGAAAGCGTAAACCCTAGAAAAAGACCTAAAAAAGAAAATACGCATTTTCCACGATGATTTTTCGAGCTCACTCCCCAAAAATTCGATAAATTTTGAAATTAAGGTGAAGAAACCATTAACTGGCTACCAGTTAAATAAAAACTGCTATGAAACAAAGAAAAATGTATTTCTAGGATTACCGTAACCCACTGACCCATATCCCCAAACATTGCCCCATTCCTGTCATGCCGCTCGTTGATTTCCCATGATTGCAATGCAACAGAAAATGGGAATATAAAAAGTAACGAATATAATAGATATTTCATCTGTTTTTCTGTCTGTCAGAAGAGCCGTTCGTCTAATTGACCACCCCCAATTTCCCTTTATAACGACTCCAAGCCCCAAAAGCTGCTCAAATAGTGCCTGGCCGCCGAAAACCATCATTGTCTCTGTCTGTCTGTGGATAGCCGTTTTGAAATAAGCCATCCAAAATGCCTTGGGGGCAATGAGGAACTAACAAATCAGACGGCCACGCTAAATTGACTGACTGGAATTGGGCAAAAATTTAAAACAACATAACAAAAACGAGCTTTTAATGGACTTATGAAGTTAAAAAAAATCGAAAAATTGAAGAATCCGTCTCATTTTAATCATAAAATCTAGCAGAGACCCTTTAGGACAGCGTAACAGCAACAAATGATAATTTTAAGGGATTCTAAGGCCAGAAAAGCGAATTGTCGGCCGTTTTCAGTTCAGGGTTTTTAGTTCGGTTCCGGAATTACTGCCGGAGCCGATTTGCTAGGCGAGCAAGCAGAGATTCCTGTGGAGTTCTGGAGACCAAAAATTGCAACTAGGAAGTTTTAAAAACTGAAAACCGGAAGCTGGCTAGCAGAGAGCATTTAGGAAACCGGCTTGTGCCAGCCATTTCCCTGAATTTCCTGTGATGCAGTTTGTGTGTTGATCCCTTCCAAAACCATCCTGTTACCATTTCCTGTCCTGAATATTTTTAATTACTTTTTATTCGGGTTCCAGTGCACTTGGCGATGAGTTCGTCTTTTGCACGAATGATAAAGAATCCCCTCTCTCCCATCATTAGTTGTATTTCGTAGTCTGCCCCTATCCAGACCGATAAATGATGTCCCTTTCCCCCATTTGGATGCCCCTTATCAGGCAAAACTACACGACTGCCAGAGTCCACATCCTTTCGCTCGTATTTTTCAGCTTTCTCAGTTATCGCGTTTATTATTGTGGCTTTATTTTTATATGAATTTAATATTGAAAATTCATTAAAACCTGCAAAACCGGGGGACAATTAAGAATTTTTGTTACTCTCGATTTTATGAGCCTTCAGTCGTAATTTTTGGGTCCGTTTGGCTACCGGTTAAGCTATTCATACAGCTAGAGATCTTTTTAATTTTTCCAGAAATCAGAATGGATGTGAATTCGCACATCTCGGCGGAGGGTGACAATCAGGATTTGACAGAAGAAAGGGGAAGGGGAGATTTCTCAACAGAAGAAATGG